CCCGTAGAGCGCCCTCTTGGGGGGGCTTCTGGGAAATGTAGTCCGCCTCTCAGTGGGGCGCTACGGAGCCGCGGTGCATGACGGGAGTTGTAGTCCCGGTGAGCGCCGCTCCCGCCCAGGCGGCGGTTGCCGGGTGGCGGCGCGGCTTGAGGCGAGGCGGGAATGGGGCAGAGGAGGCCGCGGCCGCCCGCCCCGGCGGCGGGGGGCTCCCGGCGGAAAGGAGGTGGGTCGCTCCCTGGAAGGAAGGAAGGGTCGTGGGGTGGGATGAGGGGACGGTTGGGAGCGCGGCCCAGCCCGGTGGGGCCGGGTGGCGCCGCTCCGCTGACACCCCTCGGTCCCCTCATCCCCTCAGGTACTGGCGATGTCCCCGGTTCCACCAGCCTGCCGCCTCTCGTGGAAGGCCCTCTGCGCTGCTTCCTTCGCTGCACCGTCTCCCGAGTGCTATGGACGGCCACCAAGCCACCAGCCGTCCTCGTCCGCCTGAGGTGGTGGGGAGAGACCTCCGACGGTACCGTCTTCCAGCCCCCCGGGCGGCCGGGACAACCGGCGGGGACAACCACCGCCCGCTACCCTGTCCGCTGTGGGCCAAGGCAGTTTGCTGCTTACCTGAGAGGTAGAGCCCCTTCTTCCTGCTCGGGTCAGAGTTGTGGGGAGACCTGCAAAAGCCAAGGAGTTATTTACCTGCCCATTAACCCCAGTCCTGGTTTTACTTACGGCTTTTTAGGTCATTTTTCTGATTCTGGAGGCTTTTGATCTCAGCCTGGAATTGCTGGCAGCAGTCTCTAGGTTTAACGTTCAGGTCTGCAAGCTATGGAAGTCTCTTGTAGTCCCCATAGAGTCGAGCTCAGATGATTTTTAGTATTATACATATCATATTGAACGGGCATTTCAGTGTTCTAAGGGTACGAAGAATAAAAAAATACTCAGATGAGGTTGTAACGTTATTAAGGTACTTCATTTGGTGAAGGTTCTGTGGGAAGTGGATGCAAACCTGATGTCTAAAGTCTCCTTAAAACCCGTGCCTGCTGTTGCTACTTATAGAGTGATAGAATTGTTCAGGTTGGAAGGGACCTTAAAGACCATCCAGTCCCACCCCCTGCCCTGGGCAGGGACACCTCCCACCAGAGCAGGTTGCTCCAAGCCCCATCAACCTGGCTTTGAACCCTCCAGGGATGGGGCAGCCACAGCTTCTCTGGGCAACCTGGGCCAGGGTCTCACGTCCCTCATCATAAAGCATTTCTTCCTGATATATTATCTAAATTTCCCCTCTTCCAGTTCAAAACCATTATCCCTAGTCCTATCATGAGTAGTCCTTTTGTAATAGACTGGATATTTTGAACTTTTTAAGCTTAATTTATTATGAGTGTAACACTTTACCTGCTGCCTCATTATCTTAATTTCCTGATACACGATTATGTTAACCTCCAGCATCTCTGTCCTTTTAACAAAAGCTTTGAAATTGTATTTAATTGTGACTGTGTTGTGTGAGACTGAAATGAAGCTGTTCCTAATTTTTGCAGACATGTCTGTGCTTGTCCTGGAGGTAATGACCAAACTTGACCGTCTTCCAGTTGGCAGAGTGCAAATCACCGGACTGTCCCAGCTCTCTCCCAGCCACCCCATCCATGGCTTTTTCACCATAGTTTCACCAAAATCTGAGAAACTAGGAGAGCTGCAGGTACTCCTTACATCTTTTTTTCTTTATTATAAATTGTATTGCTTTGAAAGTTAGATTCATAGAATGGTTTGGGTTGGAAGGGACCTTAAAGACCATCTAGTCCAACCCTCCTGCCATGGCCAGGGACACCTCCCACCAGACCAGGTTGCTCCAAGCCCCCTCCAACCTGCCCTTGAACCCCTCCAGGGATGGGGCAGCCACAGCTTCTCGGGGCAACCTGGGCCAGGCTCTCACCACCCTCCCACCAAACAAGTTCTTCCCCACATCTCATCTTCATCTCCCCTCTTTCAGTGTAAAAAAAGCACCCCTTGTCCTATGGCTCCCCTCTCTCATCAAGAGTCCCTCCCCATCTCTCCTGGAGCCCCTTGAGGGACTGGAAGGGGCTCCAAGGTCTCCCTGGAGCCTTCTCTTCTCCAGGCTGAACCCCCCCAACTCTCTCAGCCTGTCCTCCCAGCAGAGGGGCTCCAACCCTTCCAGCATCTCCATGGTGGCCTCCTCTGGCCCCACTCCAACAGGTCCATGTCTCTCCTGTGCTGAGAGCTCCAGAATTACTGGTAGGATCACCAGGAACATGCTGTGCTATGCACACTGCAGACCTGCTCTCTGTCCAAGGCATTTTGAACATTTGAAATGAAAAATGAATATTGGTGGTGTAGACTCTTGTTTAGTAGGATGTGTGGCGTTGGTAGTTCAGCTTGATAAAGAGAATTTGGAGTCTCTCTGCTGAGAGTGAGTTTTAACAGTGAATTTGAAAACGGATACTCAATTCTAACACTTCTCCAGAGCTTCAGTGGGCTGAAATTGTAGAAGATTTTGAAATCCAGGGCTAAGAAGGTCACGTTCTGTTTTGCAGCCCTGGCTCTGCACAATTTATGCTGAAAGACAGTTGCCTGTGATTTGAATGTGAAATAAGTAGTTGTAAATATGTCAGAGTTCTACACTGTTACAAAACTGTATGATGTAGCTGTTACTTTGTATAGAAAAGCAACAGTTTTCTGTAGCCTGAAATGCAAAAATTGAGTAGAGTTTATGTTGCACTTAATTAAGACAAGAAAGAAATATTATTTTCACGTTTTGTCTTTCAGGTCTCCCTCGTTCTAGAACCTCTGCCCGCGCTGTACGACACCAGCAGCTCTCTCCCAACCCCAGATGTGAGTCTGGACACGGGTCCTGCTCAGGGAAGCAGCAAATCCCAATTTCTTGCTCCATCCCAGCAGTCCAGGCAAACAGGGGTGACTATTGAGGACCAAGAGCCTGTTAACAAGAGCAGAGCCCCAACTTCCAGGTATCTTTTCTTTCCCATGACAAAATTCTCATTTCTTTGGTTTTTCACACATTTTTTTTTTAAGCAATGACTTTTCAATTGTGAGTTATGGAATAATTGGTCTTTTTGAATTTGTGTTTGACATGAAATCCAGAACATTGAGCATTTCAGACCTTACAGGGACAGTTTCTCATCTGCTATAAATCTGCATCCTATTTCGATTTAATTCAAGCCATTCTAATTTCCCCAAGAGGTGCTACAAGTCTTTTATTTACAGCTTAAGTTGGGTCTCCCTGATGGTGTTAGTGCATGATGAGTTGTCTTTAAAATGACAAGTCATGTTTCTTTGATTCTATGATTCTTTTATTCTATGATTCTATGATTTTGGAGCATGTAGTGAGGGGGAGCAGCTGCAGCACTAGGGAGAATTTGTCACAGAATCATAGAATTGTCTGGGTTGGAAGGGGCCTTTAAGATCATCTAGTCCAACCATCAACCTAACTCTGATAAATAAAAAAAAACCCAAAAAACCACATCACTAAACCATGTCTCTAAGCTCTATGTCAACCCATCTTTTGAATCCCTCCTGAGATGGTCCGTCAACCACTTCCCTGGGCAGCCCATTCCAAGGCTTTATAACCTCTTCAGTGTAAACATTTTTCCTAATATATAATCTAAACCTCCCCTGGTGCAACTTGAGGCCATTTCCTCTTGTCCCATGGCCTGTTCCTTGGGATAAGAGACCGACCCCCCCTGGCTACACCTTCCTTTCAGGGAGTTGGAGAGAGCCAGAAGGTCTCCCCTCAGCCTCCTTTTCTCCAGGCTCAACACGCACAGCTCCCTCAGAAGTTCTCCAGACCCTTCTCCTTGTGCTCCAGACCCCTCACCAGCTCCATTGCCCTTCTCTGGACCCACTCCAGCCCCTCAGTGTCTTTTTTGTGGTGAGGAACCCAAAACTGGACCCAGCACTTGAGGTGGGGCCTCACCAGTGCCTAGTCCAGGGGGATGGTCACCTCCTGAGTCCTCCTCACCACACTGTTCCTGACACAGGCCAGGATGCTGGTGGCCTTCTTGGCCACCTGGGCACACTGCTGGCTCATGTTCAGCCCACAGTTGACCAACACCCCCAGGTCCTTTTCTGCCAGGCAGCTCCAGCCACTCTGCCCCCAGCCTGGAGCGTCCATGGGGTTGGTGTGACCAAATTACGGCAATTACAGACCTGATTATAGCAATTTGAATCCCTTTATGGATCCGCTTTAGCTGTTACTGAAATAATGTTTCATTTTTCAACAGAGGAAAAGACCATTTGCTCTTCCAAGAGGACTCTGAAAACACAAAGGATGCTTTTGCTGCTTCTCATCACCCTCAGATTTTACCAGATGAAGGTTTGAAAGCGAATCCTTCCAAACGACAAGTGTCGTTTCTCACCGACGCTGAGCCCGAAGCCTCTGCTGGAACAGGCACACGGGTGCTCTCTTTGCATAACCCAGCTACAAAAGACTTGCTTTCAGGTTTGTATACAACTGGCATCATTATTTTTGTTTTAGATTTCACAATAATTAGTTTTTTGATAATATTTCAGGGGCCTATCTAGAGATAAAGACTTAAGGAAGAGTGATACTTTGCTCGCTCTTGCTGCGTTATTTCAATCAGAAAATGGTAATAAAAAGGTCTTTACTTAAAAAGTACTGATTTAGTCTTGTTGGAAGGTGGCTTGAATGAGGGAGAACGTGCTGCCCTAGCCCTGAGGGGGGGTCTGATCAATGCTTGTAAATACTTAAAGGGCAGGTGTCAGGAGGGTGGGGCCAGTCTTTTTTCAGTGGTGCCCAGGGACAGGACAAGAGGAAATGGGCACAAACTTCAACATAAGAAGTTCCACCTAAACATGAGGAGGAGATTCTTCACTGTGAGGGTGGCAGAGCCCTGGCAGAGGCTGCCCAGAGAGGTGGTGGAGTCTCCTTCTCTGGAGACATTCCAACCCCACCTGGACACGTTCCTGTGGTGGACCTGCTTTGGTCAGAGGTTTGGACTGGATGATCTCCAGAGGTCCCTTCCAACCCCATGTGAGTCTGTCATTCTGTGATTTGGAGGGATAAATCAAAAGGAAGGTTCACAGACTGTTTAATCATAAGTTATTTATTGTATATTTAGAATCATAGAATCATAGTATTGTCCAGGTTGGAAGGGATCTTTGAGATCATCAAGTCCAACCACCAACATAAGTGATAAAAAACTATCACTAAACCATGTCACTAAGCTCTATGTCAACCTGGCTTTGAAATCCCTCCAGGGATGGTGACTCCACCACTGCCCTGGGCAGCATCTGCCAAGGCTTAATAACCCTTTTAGTGTAAACATTTTTCCTAATATCCATCCTAAACCTCCCCTGGTGCAACTTGAAGCCATTTCTTGTTGTCCCATGGCCTGTTCCTTGGGAGAAGAGACCGATTCCCCCTGGCTACACCCTCCTTTCAGGGAGTTGGAGAGAGCCAGAAGGTCTTTACAGAGAAGACCCAAAATGAGACTGCTGTGGAGACACCCTAAGGTGACAGACTGCTCTTCCATAAATTAATCTTACTGCTGTATCTTAATAATGCCTGAATCTGGGTGTGCAGATGAGTTACTTGTACAGCTTTGGGTGGGATTACATCAGGATCTCTTTGTAACGGCAGAAAATAGAAGTTTCTTGATTGTAGCTGGCACATTTATTGTGTTTACACGCCGCTTTGAATTGCTGAGTTTGAATCCTTTTGCTTATTTCTCAGCTCTTTTGGACCAGGGCAACAAACTCCGTGATGCCATGGTTGTTTCTGCGCTGAAATCCAGCCCGGACATGGAGATTGAACTGAACGAAGTGTCTCCTTTTATACAGAGAGATGATTTCAAAGCAACAGAAAAGTAAGCTTGGAAAAACTTTGCTGGGAGGAGAGTGAGATTTAAGTTCTAAACCAGAAGTTTTGAGGCTTTATCAAGACAACTTTAAATACTTAGACCCATCTGATGTTTTTTGGGAGTTCTCATTCAAATTCTCATTGGCAATTCTCATTCTCATTCAACTCATTCAAAGTTTTGAGGCTTTATCAGGACAACTTTAAATACTTAGACCCATCTGATGTTTTTTGGGAGTTCTCATTCAAATTCTCATTGGCAATTCTCATTCTCATTCAACTCATTCAAAGTTTTGAGGCTTTATCAGGACAACTTTAAATGCTTAGACCCATCTGATGTTTTTTGGGATTCTCATTCAAATGGAAAATTACTTTCTACTCGTGAATAAAAGCCTACATTTTGTGAATTGATTTTAATCGTCATGGAGTAAACCTTGATTTAAGTCATTGTTTTTAAGTTCGTTTCTCAGTATATTTGTGTTTACTACAGAGTTATTTGATGAGGAAATACTAAATATTGATAAGGAATAAGAGTAATGTAAAGAGCATAGCAAATTAAATGATACCTCATCACAGAGAACAGGTTTTCTAAGAAATGTACGTAATTAGGGACAAAAATTGACTATTTTTGCATATTCTAGTTTGCATCTCTTGGTGCCAAAATACCCGTGAAAATTTGCATCTGTATCTGTGTTCTCAGAATTAATAATCTCTATCTTCTTCTAACTTTTTTAGCAGATTGGGGGGGAAAAAGTGTGCCTTTTCAACTTCTAGCTCCCCCTTTGTTTAGTACTAGGCTTAGAAAATGCTCTCAATTCAGTGACATAGAAATTTCAAAGAATTAAGACAAAAGCATGTTTTTTACAGGAGAAACTTCAATTCCTTATTTCTAGAAAAATATGAATATTGCTTTTTGTTCCACTGTGAACCAGAAAATAATGTCATTGTCAGTCAGTGATGCTGTTGCAAACACAAATTATTTCTACTGAAACTGTTCCAATTTGTTTAAAAGTAGGTGATTTTGGACTTTCCAGGAAAAACTGATAGAACATAATTTATAAACATCTTGCTTGTCTTTCTCTTCTTGTTCCCAGCAGCTGTGCTTAAACTGCAAGATTAAGGCCAATCTTTATGGTTGGACTCGATGATCTTAAAGGTCTTTTCCAACCTAAATGTTTCTGTTTCTCTGATATATTGCAAAGTGGAGGATTTTGGGTGGGACTTGCAGCAGATTGTGGGGTTACAGGGAGTTTTTGTGTATCTAGAAATTAAGTTACAAACTGGAGAAGGCTGTACATCACATTTGATTTTTATCCTTGAGGGATTAATCTTGAATTTACCTTAATATCTTTTTATTTTTCCTTTTCCTGCTCTCTGTGCTGCAATCACTGTTATCCAGGAGCCCAAAAGGCTTGAATTCAAATTATGTGTCCTCTCCTGGAGATCTCCATCTCTTCCCATCTGAAGTTTCAGGTCAGCAACTTGACTTAAACTCAGAGGAGAGAGCGATACAGTTACTGTTGGGCAGGTGAGTGTGATGCGCTGCAAAATTGTCCTTATTTGACCAATTTATACTGAAAAATGTCTCTTGGCTCTTCAAGTTCTGCACATTTTTGGAAGTGTAAGCACAAGTCTGGAGCACAAGTCTGGTGAGGAGCAGCTGAGGGAGCTGGGGGTGTTGAGCCTGGAGAAAAGGAGGCTGAGGGGAGACCTTCTGGCTCTCTCCAACTCCCTGAAAGGAGGGTGTAGCCAGGAGGGGTCGGTCTCTTCTCCCAAGGAACAGGCCATGGGACAAGAGGAGATGGCCTCAAGTTGCACCAGGGAGGGTTTTGGATGGATATTTGGGAAAATTTCTTCACGGAAAGGGTTGTGAAGCCTTGGCAGAGGCTGCCCAGGGCAGTGGTGGAGTCACCATCCCTGGAGGGATTTCAAAGCCGCGCAGACGTGGTGCTGAGGGACATGGGTCAATGGTGGGTTTGTCAGTGTTGGGTTGATGGTTGGACTCGATGATCTGAAAGGTCCCTTCCAACCTCAACCATTCTATGATCTGCTTGGGCCAAGTGCTGCGTAAGCACCGTTTGGCTCTATCCAGAGCCAATACAGCACAAATCCAGTATAGAACAGACAATATTGTCAGAATTCATAAGACATTGACTGCAGAACTTGCAACACAAAGTTACATTTCTTTCTCTTGTGTCCACAGTGCTGATTTATCTCCTGTGCATTTCTGGGATCGGACAGGTTCCCTTTTGGATTCTCTCTCTCTCGGGAGCGAGGTGTACGACAGCGAACTCAACGATCCCCATTACGACCAGAGTCTGCTCGAGAGCCTTTTTTACACAGCTCCTGTAAGTGGAGAGCAAAAGGAAGGGGCTAAATATGTAGCTCCTCAGGTGAAGAAAATCAGAAGGTTTCAGTATTAATAAGGCTTAATAAGCATTAAGTATCATACAGCAGCTTGTGAGAACTTTGCTTAAAATTAATCCTATTAAAAGAATACCATTAAGACTACAAAGTCAAGCTGCAAGTTTGGAAATTACTAGGATTGAGGCTGTCCATGAAAACTTTTTCTTAAACTTCTGAAAAATTTGGATACCATTTTAATTGGTTTTAATTATGCAATCCACAAGTTGTTTTTTTCTTTGTCATAACCGTTGTGTATCTTGCCAGATAATGATAATTAACTTTACTTTAAATTTCCGTTGCAGAAATCTGATTCCAGTTTGAGCGATTTCCTCAGTGATGATGATGTTAACAGCTCCAAAAAAATAACCAAGGCAGAAACTCTCAAGAAAGCTGATCTAGTGAATCTACAGAAGGATTCTAACACCTTTGATCAGGATCTGAAGGTGACAGAAATTGAAGCCAGGTAAATAGTTACATTAGTGACTTGTTTTGCAGCATCTTGAACATTGTAGTATTAAGTTTGCAGTAAGTTTCCAGACTACATTAAGTTATGTGGGAGTCTTGATCTGCTGGAGGGGAGGAAGGCTCTGCAGAAGGATCTGGACAGGCTGGATGGATGGGCCAAGGTCAATGGGATGAGGTTCAACAAGGCCAAGTGCCAGGTCCTGCCCTTGGGTCACACCAATCCCCTGCAGCACTACAGGCTGGAGCTGCCTGGCAGAAAAGGACCTGGGGGTGTTGGTCAACTGTGGTCTGAACATGAGCCAGCAGTGTGCCCAGGTGGCCAAGAAGGCCACCAGCATCCTGGCCTGTGTCAGGAACAGTGTGGTGAGGAGGACTCAGGAGGAGATGGTCACCCTGGACTGGGCACTGTTATGGAGACCACCAAATTTGTTGTAAAAAATACATTTAAAAATGAACATTTTCATGAATGATCACAGAATGAATCATGGAATGACACAGGGTTGGAAGGGACCTCTGGAGATCATCCAGTCCAACCCCCTGCCAGAGCAGGGCCACCCAGAGCAGGTCC